ATCTTCCATTATTACGCAGGCAACCAAGTAACTTTACCTTTGTTACATTAATTCCTCTGACTTAGAAAGGACAGGAGCTAAAATTACACAAAACACTTATTATTTCTTTAAGTATAAAAATTAAAGGAAGGTAGCTTAGCACTGAGGCATATCTAAATTTACAAAACAAAATTTACAAGTGCTTAGAAGACACGGCAGGAATTAAATGCTTAATACTTTGTTTGGTTTTTTTCTCTCCTCAGAATTCTTCAGTATTGCTGCAAAACAAAACTGTCATTAAGTCATAATTATTATCTCTGCTGCTGGAAAGTGGTATGTAGCTGAAAATTTATAGATCTTGCAGTGTTATAAGGATGATTATACAGACTATAGGGAATAGGACTTAATCTAGAGGGAAGAATGGTGAGTGTATCCTCACAGATCAGAAGGCAGATATTTGGGAACAAAAAACATGTTTTTAAAGGTTATATTTAAGAAGCAATTGCATGATGAAGGGGGCTGATTGTGATCTGGAAAAACAAGTGAATTAAAAATCTGGAACAGATACAGACAGTATCTGTAATGATGTAAATAGCCTTTCTTCAAGTTTTTAATATATTTGTTTGGTTTTAGGTATCTGAGACTGATGGACAAGAAATGCTGCCAGTTTTGATGCATGAAAAGGTTTTTCCCAGCACAGGAAGACTGATTGTGTACTCAGATCATAAAGTCCATGCTGTTTTTTGGGACAGGATAACCCTGACTATGGTTTGGGACTTCAGCTCTTCCTGTAGTGAGATCCAGGTAACATGTGATTTACAGGAAGAGCTATTCCTAAAACTTACCATGAAAAAGTGTTACTAGGAAATTAATGAGAATACCAAACAAAAGTTCTGATGCCAGTAAAATACAAAAACAAAAAAAAATAATTGAGAATTCTACAGGTTTGGAGACATTTTTACACACTTTTAGAAATAATTTATTCTTGAATAGCACAAAGCAAGAGTTGGGGCTTTGCCAGGTGTTCTTCCCCTGCCTTTGTTATAGCAGACTATCCTTAGCAAACCACAGACTTGTAAGTTTTTAAACTGGATTATTCATCGATATTTCATTCTTAAATTGGCATATTATACTTGCTTTTTTTTGCTTTGGACTGCAGCAGAAAGTCAATATTTGTTTGTTTGTTTGTTTTTTCTTTTAAGATAAATGAAGATGTAGGCTGGTGTAAGTTAACTACTCCTGATGGGCTACAGCAGCTAATACAAATAAGTCATCCTGGAGTATATGAAAGGTAATTTAAATTAGTTGTTCAATTTAAACAATTTAAATATAAAAATTATTCTTTATAAATCCTTTTAGGTGAAGAAATAGTATTTACTGACAATAAGCTGGTAGGGATGGACCAAACATCTAATGATAAAAATCCGTCTTATTTCTGGCAAAAATTCAAGACCTGTGTGACTCAGGGCCACTACTGCATGCTGTGATTCCATTATAACTGTTATGGCAATGTCTTTTTAGAAAAATAACTAGAGCTGCAACTTGGTATTTACTTCTGTGGATTGAAAAAGAAAAACCAAAAGCATTTGTCCTATATAGAGCTAATATATAGAACTGCACAGCACTTTATCCAATTTTTGCTTTATTACAGATACTGACCTCTGCCTGCAGATTGTTTTCTAATCTGCATGCTGTAATTACAGCCTCATTATGGGAATTACCAGAAGTTTTCTGTGCTGCATTTTAGCAAGCAGATATTCACAAACAAAAATTAACACTTGTATACTATTCATTGCAAAACATACAGCATTGTTATAATTTGCTATAACTGTATAGATCTAAATATGAAGAAGATTCTAGACAAAAAATGGCCAGGCAAGCTAGAAGAATAAGCAAGATTTTGAATCATAGCTTTTATTTTCAGATCCAGGTGTATTCCCTAGTACCTTCAGTTTTTTGCTCAAAACCAGAATTTATTTCTCATATAAATAACTAATTTTTAGAATTTTGTTATTAACACAGGTACATCAGAACAGCAATAGAATGGTGCAGAAGTTTGAATGAAAGGAAAGAGATTGCTGAATATACTGCACACGCTGTAACTGAAGAAAATTGGTATTCATCTTTATTCCAAATACCTGGCTATAAATAATGTTGAAAAAACTCAAAAATATTATAATCTGAATTTTATATCTTGCATTTCCTAGTGTTCAAAAATGAAAATTTGTTTTTAATATGGTTTCACATTTATCATTTAGTGGTTAAAATGTTCAGTGAGTTTCAGGTGAAGGTTGTTGTATTGAGCTTTGCCTGTCTTAAAAATCAGAATTATGGTGACTTTGTCAAAGGACAGGTAATGTTACAAAGATAATGTCTTGCAATGAAAAGATATCAGACTAAGAAAGATGGCTTTTAACAGAACATCAAGTGTCTAAAATAGTACTTTGAACTGCCTAATGACAGTTGTATCTCTTGCTGATGTATTTGTCCTTTTTAATATATGCTACTTACCAAAAATCTACTGACATCATCTGCAAACATTGGGATATTAAAAATGTACTAATTGAAATCAATTGCAGTTGCACTTGTTACTTAAATTATAGCAGATTCAGCTGATGCATTTTATAGCATCAGCTATATTATATTTATAGCATTTTATAGCTGATGAAATGAAAATTCTATCTATATTTATACATACTTACAGCAAAGAAACTATTCTCAGAGCAGAGACCAAATTTTTGGAAACACAAATGATTGACAAATGTCAGCCATTGAATAGTGGTATCGAAGACAGAGATTTTGCTAATCTAATTCTCCGTATTGCTGGAAACTGTTAAAAATTAAAATTTGAAGTAGAAAATATCCTTGAGAAATAACCTTTATTTTTTTTGGACAGGTCTGCTGATGCTGAGCTTGAAAAAATACAGAGATTTAATTGTATCCTTTTCAAAGCTGTAAAGATTTTTTTCACTTTTATATTCTGCTGTTTATCTGCATGTTCAAATCTACAATTTAGATCATCAAAGGCTCTCTATCCTGATCTTCTTTTACTGTCTCATTTCTTAAAATAACCTCATTTTCTTACTTATCTTTTTTTGTTTTATCACTTATTTTTTGGTAAAGATTTTTTTTAAACCCCAAAAACAGTGTTGAAGTACAAAACTAAAATGAAAATTCACCAGAAAACAAGGCCCTTTGACGTGTATTGTGTCAGTTTTGCTAAGAATCATCTGCTGATCTGTTCTTGAACAGATCGAGCAACACAAGAGGAAAACACAAGTTGCCTTTGGGCTTGTTGTTGCAGTACAGTATCTTTCTGTTTACCAGCTACCTCAGTATTGTTCTGTTGTGTTCACCCAGCTGGAAATGTGCACTGTGCTGAATCTGCTTAAAGCCACTCTAAAACTGTCTTCAAGCCAGTGTTCAATTCTATTAGTATGAAAAGAGCATGCTGTTAAACTGAAGTGTAACACCCTTTTTCTTTTCAAAGTACCTTTTGGATAAATTGAAGTCTAAAAGGCATTTTTCTATAAATGTTGTAGATATTTAAGTAATACAGTCCTTTTCGTTTTTTTACCTGTATGTAATTACCATGCTACAAAAGATGAGACTTTGCAAGGCAGAATGATGAATACAAATGCAGAGACTAATTTTTCTCTTTAGGAGGAAGAGTCTGACATTTTTTTCTTAACAAAGTAACACTAGTTTTATTAGACAATAGCAACATTCTGAAAGGGACAGCTGCTGCAAAACCAAGTCCATCTGGTATCACTGTCAGAAAAAAAGAAGAACTCAATGAAGACTGTGTCTTGGAGGCTTTAGAAAAAACTTCTAAAGTCATTCAGGATATTGAATCTCTGCTTGCTGCTTCTGGGAGATGAAGCAGCAGTTCATGTCCTCACAGGAGCCGTCCCAGCTGTGTCTGAGGAGGCTTTGTGGGGAGAGAGGAATAAAGGCTGAAGCCAGAGGGACAAGTTGCCAGTATATTCCTGGTGAAGTCTGTCAGGTGCCAGCGTACTATGGACAATAACACCAGTGCTATATTTGAAACAGGCAGAGAGAAGAGTTGAGATAATGGAGCACTGCTGTATAAATAGATCAGGCCTGACCTGACGATACTGCTTTTAATGTTTGAATATATGTTCAAATCAACTTAATTGATGGATCGCTGCTGAAATGACCAGGGTAGACACGGGTAGTTTTCACTGTAAAAACGTGCTTTTATTCAGGTGCTTACACCAAGAAGTCTTAATCACCAAATAAAATGTTTCCCACGTGCTTTCTATAGTGCTCTCTTTGAGAAAATAAGTACTAATTTGAGGGCAGAAGAAACTTCTCTGGCTCTGTGGTGTGTGAGAGGTGCACCATGTCCTTAATGACAAAACACTAAACGCTCATAATCGATTTCCCTCCCAGCAATTAAAGGAGCCGGAGCGCGAACGCCCAAATGCTGCACCTAACAATCGAGGAAACGCCCGCGCCTCACACGGCAGCCCCGCTGCCCGGCGGGCGGCGATGGGAGGAGCCGGGCCCGGCCCGGTCCCAGCCTGCTCCGCGGCCACGCATGCTTCCTGCCGGCTCCGGGCGCTCCCGCCGCGCTCCGGCCGCGTCGGGCCCGGGGCCGAGGGCGGATGGCGGCGGCCGCGCTCCAGGTGGGCTCCGGGCGGGCGGGGCGGGGCAGGGCGGGGCGGCGGCTCTGGGCCCCTCACCCGCCGGGGCCCGCGCCTCCCCGCGCTCTCCTGCTGATCTCGGCTTTCCAGGCTGATTTCTGATCGGTTTAATTCAGTTTGTTCTTCAGCGTCTTGGTAGGATCCTGCCGCTTCCTTCTGGGCTTTTGCCCTCTCCAACCCCAAAAATGCTTTATAATTATCTGGCCTAAAAATATTTGCTAGATCACCGCAATGATGCGTTGTAATTGTCTGGCTCAAAAACATTTGCATGATCACTCCAATAATGTGTTACAATTATCTAACTCAAAAATGCTGGCACTATCAGTTGTTCACAGGTAGGCTGGGATCTCATTTTCCGTGAAACTGTATGCTAAAGGTTTGAGCTGGTGTCTTAGTTCTGCTTCATGCAGTTTTAAACATATAAATTAACATCCAGTATCAAATAACAAGGGGTTTAGGAGATTATAGAATTGTAAGGGATTACAAGTCTTTTAACTTCTCGTCTAGAATGCATAATTCCGTTGGCAGGGTGTTGTTTGGTAGTAGGTTGGACTTGAGGATCTCAGATGACTTGCCCAACCTATTTGATTCTTTGATCCTGTAACTGCATGCATGCATTAAATTCCTCTATGTATTCACATAGCTGATAGTGTCATGCAAAACTGGGGCAGAAATTAAGCAGAGTAATATTTCTAAGTGGTAATTTTAGCCATTTGACTTTTATTCTGCTCATACACCATGGCCTCTTAGCTGCTTTCCCAAAAGTATACATACAGTTTTGATCTAAATATCTTCTTCTGACAGTAATTTAAAGTGTTAACTGTGTGTTCATAAAAAATTACTCGGATAATTTCCTTAAATTAAGCATGTCTACAAAATTCCATTTTGAGGCTATGGACAGAGATTATGGTCAGTGTTTTATCTCATGTAAAAATGTAATGGGAAACCACAACTCAAAGCTGGATTACTCTATCAGCTATTGTGTTTTATGTAAAACCCACGTAGAACTTCCCTTCATGATGTTAACTGTACTGACCACACAGAGGTTTATAAGCATTTTTGTGTGAATTATTCCCCACTTTTCTGTTTTAGCAAGATTGTAAGCTACACAAATGCTTTCTGAGATTTATAGGTTGTGATATTTTGTAAAGAGCCTGAAAAGCATCATTTTTCAGGGAGAAAAAAAAAATTTTTAGTATTACCTGAAAATTTATACTTTCAGATTATTTTCGTTGGCCAGAGTTTTGCCTTTTCTGGTCTGATTTCCCTCATGATCTGCAGAATAATTTGGGGAAATTCTGTTGTACCTGGGAATGTGAGTTGATTTTTACACAGGCAACACTCATTTTTGTCTCAAAAGGAGGCTGAAACAGACGGTTTAAAAAGAGCAGTTGGACATAGCTCTTGACTAAGGTCAACCTGAAGAAAGTTTTGCATCCTGTTCTTCATTCTGGCTCAAGAAACACATGCTAATACTACCCATAGCAAAAGTGTAAGCCTAACAAAGAACTGACATCAACCTCTGTTGCTATATGAATTTCTAGATCTGTCTTTATCTATTCACTAGGGTCACTAAGTGATGGGGTGGAATTTAAAAAGAGATCCCTGAATGCGACTCAAAAATGTCTCATGAGGTGGGAATCTTCTAGGCACAAGAAGAAATCTATGAAAATGGATTACACTACCATTGAAATGCAGTTGTGTAGAAGACTGGAGCAGTTGTTTTTGGACTTTGTGTTTTATTATTTTTTAGGTACTATCATGTTCTGGTTTATTTCTGCTCTTCTTTTGGTTTATGGCCTTTTTTCTGCTTTCTTTTACAGAGCTTCAAAGCTTAGCTGAAGTTGCTTTTGTCTCAGTTATATTTGTTTACAAATTAATTAAATATATGTTTATTCTTTCTGGATTTTTTTTTACTGTTGTTCATATTTCATGTATGCTGTTTTGCCTAATATCAGTGGTTACCAGTGCCTGGTTTGTTTCTATTTAGGATGGAACAAGTGGTGTATGGTATTTCCTGCACTGGACTGGGCAGGCTGGATTCAGAAAGCACAGAGGCTCAGCCCTGAGGTATAGACCGTAGACATTTCCTACTGGAGTAAGGCACCTGTGATGGAAAAAAAACTGTTCTCCTAGTCACAGAGGAAGTTTGATTCTGATTACTGGTGTGCTTTCTAAAGGTATGTTGCTACACCACCCCTTCGCAGATTGGATCCTTACACAGCCTTTTTGGTAATTTTAAATGAAATCCAATGTGACATGATGGCCATGTAGAAGAAACATTTGTGAAGAGATTGCCATTTTTTTCCTTAGAAATTGAATTTATTCAGCAATGTCCTGTGTAGCATAAGGTCGCCCACCATAAAACAGCACTTCCATTGTTTCAGGAAATACTTTGTGTCTACACATTTATTCTCTTTTACTTTTTAAAACGTTTTCTAAATAAATTATTCAGTGGGCTTTTTCTTTTCTTACAGAGGCTGACAGTAGTTCTGTCTTGTGGATAATTCTACGACAGGCATGTAAATAATCTGGAGGAAACATTTATGTCTTGTGATATTTATAATATGTTTAAAATCATGAATTGTTGTGTGTCAGCTTAGAAAGTCTTAATACATTCAAAAATGCCCTTCAGAATAAGAACTTACCTAATAAAGAAGGATTGTCAAGATTTAATACATTGCACGAAAATGGCAAACTCATGGGAAGTATCCATTTTTAGGCAGGATATAGGCTTTAAAACTGTCGTCTGTCTGTATAACTTCCCAAAAAGACTAGCATAACAGCTGGGTCAGTTAGAACTTCTCTTGCAAAAAGAGGAGTTGTGAAGGTAACGTGGCAGACAATAGATAAATCCTAAAAGTAGCAGCCAACTTCTCTGCTAGAGCACATGCTGAGGAAAAGCTTAGTTAGTTTTGCTCTGTAAGGAGATGGTTTTGATTACTTTGCTTGACTAAATGTTTGTTGTCTTTGTGTTTATTATAAATAATGAAGATATTTTAGTGGATTTGGTTTCCTTAAGGTTTATTCTACATTCCAATCTCCAAACTAAACAAGGCATTTCTCAGGAAAGGGTAACAGGAGAATACTACATACGTTAGCAAAGAATGTAAGTTAAAGGAGTGGTTTGGATTATAGATTGAAAACTGAATTTTAACAGTTGTTTTATAGAGAAATCTGGGATTTTGAGCATCAGTCTCAAGAATCCTCCAAACTGAATCTTCTTTTGTTATTACAATGTTAAGTATTTCATTGGATTAAATAATGTATTCAAGATCAGAAGGAATCTTGAAACACATGCAGTGTATTATCATAGATAAATTTCAAATTATTTTGTAATATTTAAGATTTCAATAAGTGGTATTAGAGCTCTCCATGTTACTTGTGCTTGTTCTAATTAAAACAGGGCAGGTGTTTTAATTCAGAGTGTGGTGTTCAAGTCAATAACATAATTGAAATAAAAAATTCCCTGGGAATGTTAAATGCAAGCACTGTATTTGGAGTCTTAGTGCCCAGTTGTAGCTGTGGTAGCAAATGTTTTGTGCAAATGGATTTTCTTTGTTTGATAGTTTTGTTTCTGATCTCTGACATTTACAGAACAGCTGACGATACAAAGGACAATGCACAGTGTGTATCCTGATGATATTTTGTGTGCTGCAACATGGTTCTTGTCATGGCATCTGAGACTGAAAAGGCCCATGCTCTTCTCCAGACTTTCAGCACAGCATCAGTTATTTCCAGTCTAGGTTTGGGGATATTCTGCTTTGTAGCAGACAGACTCCTGCAGTTTTCCTTCATTCAGCAAAATGACTGGCTCCGAGCCTTATCTGATAATGCAGTGCATGGTATACTGGGGATGTGGTCCTGGGCAATAGTGATTGGACTCAGGAAAAAAAGTGACTTCACTGAGGTCACTCTGGCTGGTTTCCTTGCCTCTGTCATTGATGTGGACCACTTCTTTCTTGCTGGATCTCTGTCATTAAAGGTAAGTCAATAGATCAGTAACTTGTTAATTTATCACTGTTTATGTTGTTGTTCTTCTACAATGTCCTAGACAAAAAATCCATTGATAGTTTAATAAAATACATTTCGTAGATATACAGGAATTATGTTTTTATGCAGTTGTTACAATTTTAAAAGCCATAAAAATATTTTACATCTAGTGTTCAATTTCTGCTACTTAGACAGGAAACGAGAGTTTTGCACATGTACATGCTATTCGACATATATCATGTAGTTGCTTTGTTATCCAGCTTAAGGAGTTCAGTGCTGCCTTGCACACTTTTTTGGATGAGGTGGATTATTCCACTTCTCTTTACAGTAAGGGTTAGAAATATCTGAAATGTGAGGTAGGAATATCAGCAATGTAAATGATAGAGCTTCTGTTTAATTTGAGTCGTTATGAGTAATACATTGGTTTTAGCCAGCTCTAAATATTTCTTCTATGAACAAGCTATATGTGAGCTGTCACATTTAAAAAGGCAGTCTGAGTTGCATTTAAATACACTTCATTGAGGAAAAAAAAAAAAAAAGCCCAAACCAAAAAATAGTAGGAAAGCAAGTATCAGCTTATTAATAAAATTAAAAGTGAATTGGCTCCTCTAAAGAAGTGAATGGATTATCATCTATTTGCTGAACTGCTTGTTAGGACAGAGTTTCTCAATAAGATTATTCTCTAATCTTATTGAGAATATGGCACTCTTTTCCAGTAGTTTTCTTCCTCTAGTTTGCCAGGAAGGGAAGGAAATCCTGGTTTTTATATTCATGTAAGTAAAGAAGAACTAAGGTTTATCAATTTTTAAAAATATTTAGGTGACAGCTAAGTGCAAGAGGCAAATACTGCTTTTAGCTGAGATGTAAAAATCAGACTTACAATGGAAAAATAGTTTTTGTTTATGTACAGTATCACTATTTATTGTAGAGAAAAGATGCCTCTTATTTATGCATTTGGTCAGTTTTCCCCTCTTGGCTTTACCAATGCTGAGGAGAAAGGGAAGAACAGGGTCCCTCAACATGCTGGCCACATTCCCAGTGCAGTTCAGGATACCACTGACCACCATTTTGCCGCATGGACACCTGGGCTCCAGCATATCCTGGTTCCTGGCATCATTCTCCCCTAAGCAGCCCCTAGTTCTCCCCTTTTCTGTGCTTCTTGTATGTGGAAATGCTGTACAATTATAAGAGTATGTAAAGAAAAGGAAAGTTAGCTTGGTTGATTAATGGGTCATATAATATTACTACTGAATAACAATATAGCATAGGATTTATCTACTCCTAATCTCTAATTATTCTCATCTGTTTTTTTATCAGCAAATGCAAGTTAATGAATGGCTAGCTATTAGAAAGTATCAAAATTTTATCTCTGCTTTTTCATGCATTTGAGATTATTAGTATTTTTCTCAATTATGACCACTAGATGTCACACCTCACCAATGTCAGTTTGAGAAGTTGACTGTTGAATTGTGTTATGGAATTGGGAGGTGTCCGGCCACTTGGTAGTGAGGCAAGGTTAAATATTCTTACACCTTCCATGATGGGGAATGTTTATGTAGCCTAGCCTATCCCTACTATGTGAACCAAGTAAATTTTTGTGATTTTGTGACTTAATTTCTTCCTGTGTTGTTTTAGCTCCCAGGCAGATAGCAGTTCATTTTCTAAATGCTGATGACAGTTAGATGTAGTTCTCATGTTGGTTAACCTTTTTTTTTTTTTTTTTTTTTTTAGCACAAGACAGCTGATTTCTGTGCTGTCCCCCAGAATGATTTTCAAATCAACAGCACAAAACATTCCATATATTAAGTGGGCTAATAAAGGAAATAATCTGGTGTAGGTCTCTTGACTCTTAGAGCAAAAGCATCATTAAAACTTGCAAAGCCAATATGCTTTGCAAAGGCTCTCTTCTCAACTAAATAACTTTAAAAAAAAATCTTAAGGAAATAAATTTATGTTTTCTAAATCTCATACTACTTTCCCTCTCTCCTATGTATTGCATTTTTGCCTAAATTACCTCTAAAGGGTCCAGTCCAAAACCATCAGTAGTATTTTAGGTGAGACTCCATTTGAGGTAAATACTATAGTTTAATTCCTTTCAATGGCACAAATATATAATGCTTCTGTCCTATTAAAAAAGAATCATAATCTGTTACAGGTTTTGCCTTGTTATAATTCCAGCTGAGTCCCTTTGGTTTGTGATGTAACATAATCCCCATAAACCTGTCTTCTTTGCGCTGTCTGGCCAGCTAGATCTGATTGCAATATGTAACTTTTCTTTTGTTGGCTTAATATGATGTGCCTGTCAGTTGCTTGGCATAATTTCAAGCTGTCACCTATATAATTTATTGCTTCATGGGATACTTTTTTACTACATATTTGGTAGTTACAGTCCCATTCTTGATCTTTAAATTGCATGGTTGAGAGTAACTGCTTTAAGACACTAAGATGTTTACTGCTTTTGCAACACATTACTAAATAACTAATAAATTAATAAGTCTAATTAACCAACCACACCACTCTTTGCTAATTTGTACCAGTAGTATATTTCACATTACTGTACACAATCATCTATAAAGCTCATCATTATCACTTTTAAATCTGATGACGAGTTATTTTTTCTGGAGTAATCTTTCTATGCAGCACAAGGCAGTGCTGCTTTCTACCTCCAATTGCTACCTTCACACTACTCTAGTCACCTACTTCTGTTCCTGCTGATGCCACTCAGCACTTGGATTGTTTGGCCATTGGTCTGTTTTTCATGGTCATCATTATTTTTCTGCAGTATTCAGGGTAAATAGTCACCTGCGGTATTTGTATATTTGCCCTGATAAATACTTGTGTACTGAGTACCATGTGATCTGACCTTTTGCCCACATTATTTTTGCAACAAGTATGAAGTCTACAATGACTCCACTACTTGGAATTTGTAGTTCTTTGTGCTCCACGTGTTTTTTACTGTGCACACAAGTACAGAAGAACCTGTCTCACTGATTACTCTAAAGGTGGTAGTTCCTGCAGCCTGTTGTCAGTCAGGAGTGCTGATATGACATGATGGGCTGCTCCCAGACTCCACCAGGATTGTAACCAAGACACTCACGTTGCAGAACAGACATGCAGAAGTTGCTGTCTTGGTGCTAAAGACTCACCAAGTTTTAGAAGCGTAGAACATGTAGTCAGTGGCAAATATACATAACACTGCTGGGAAATGTGCCACCCCTGACTGACCTGGGCTGTACGGGAGCATTTCTGGAACTAGAGAATAAGCTTTGCACAAGCACAATTGATGTAGCATTGGATATTTTACTGTATTGTTAATATTACTACTATATATTACATTGACTATGTTACTATGAACTAAAGACTTTGGGCTTGTGGAGCATCACAGAGTATCAGTGAGGGAGCATCTGTTGTTACATAACATCCATGGTGTCACCATGAGCATTAAAAGAGATAATTTGCGTGGGTTCCTCTGCATGCAATTATTGTCTCCTCTCTCCAGCTGCTCATTGTAGTGAAAGAGGCTGGAGGAGCAGCAACTGCAAGATGATCTTGCATCTGATTGCATATATAGGCAAATTGAAAAGGTCATTTGCAAATAAATTCTGTTTGCAACTTTTTCCAGTAAGTTTAACGTGGAAAAGGCTTGATTTTCTGGTATTTTGCAGTGGGTTTTTTTGGTTTTGTTTGTTCTTGTTGTTGTTTCTTGGGTTTTTGTGGTTTTTGGGGTTTTTTAAAGATCTGGTGCTTTCTAAAGGCAAACAAGTTTGCCTGTTAGGAGAAAGAGAGTATAGCAGCTTATATTAGCAAACAGAACTACCTGTCAGTCTTCAGGGCTTGTCAACTCAAGGATGTAAGTTCCTTTAGTCACAGAATGTAAAAGAGGAAACAGACTGTTCTCTCAGACCTTGAGCAACAGCATATCAGAAGCTTGATGACTGTACTCAGTGCCAGATTAGGACTTTCTTTTGCTGAAATTGAATACTCAGGTTTGCTATATTAACAACCCTGCCATCTGAAATTTATATGGAAAGAATTTAAGCATCACCTTGGCACCAATATTGATAAACTGAGTACATTAGTAACATTAAAATTTTCCTTACTCACTGTGTTGCTGTTGGCATCTAATCTTAATAGGCCAGAGGAAAAAAACCAACTTGGACTTCACTATTGGGTTTTGTTTTTTTTCAAAGTGAAGAAGTAGAGGCCAGTCAATAGATTATATGCCAAAACATACCACTATTCAGTTTTTTTCAGAATTAAGTTAGTATGTACTTTTGAGCCTCTTGTTGACAGTTAGAAAAATCAGATTCTTTGTAAGGCAGGTGATAAAGAGTTTCACCATCACAAGATTATTCTACCTTAATCCATGAACAATCTGCTTGTGTGAAATAGATCTGAAGTTGAAGAAAATACATCTTTTGCTCCAACTTAAAGGAAATGGGTCCACAACATTAGAGTTAAAAATTGTTGCACTTGTGAGCTTTTAAATCCCATTACCTGATCAGGAGTCACGGACAATCATGTGGTGGGAAGCTAATAGAACAAAGCTTTCTGCAAGCCTTTTAAGGTTGTGGTTTAAAGCATGAGCTGTTGTATTTCAAGGTAGTCCATAACTTCCCCTCTCTAATCAGTTAATAAACTGGCTAAGGCTACATCGAAGTTTCCTTGCAGAGACCATAATGTTCCGTGCAGTTATCTAAATTATGCATGAACGTGATAAACCTATTCCAGAGTCCCACTGTCCGGCCCTCTTGCTGTTGAATCCTGCAAAGAGTAAGACATCTGAAGAATGTACAGGTTAGAGATACTTTGTTTGCCTTCTGCAGTAGGTGCAGTGAGAGATGTGTCCAACCCAACAAAGATACACAGTCACATTACATCCCTGGGGCCTTGTTACAGGCTTTCTGAGTGTCCCCCAATAATGAATTGAGCCAATGAATATCACATCAGCACTTCTGTGGACCTTCTGGTAGCGTGCTGTTTCTCCTGTGCTTACAGATACAATAATCTACTTATTTGTCAAACAGAAGTCCAAAATACCATTACATGGGTATTTTTGAATGGGTTTGAATTTGTGCTGTTGCTAATGAGTATAAGCACAGAATACCTTCTCAGACATGTATATTAAATAGACATTATCACTTCTTAAAATGGCTAAATCTAATCTCACTAGCTAGACATTCACCTTACTAAAACCAAATATCAAGGTTTTAACTGAGTTACTGTTAAACAAATTGTTGATATAAAACCCCAGTCACAAATGTTTCAGATCTTGGTTTATGAACTTTGTTTTGCCTGTCTATGAAGAGTACTGTCTCAAGGTGATCAAAATACACGTAACTTTGCCAATATTTTTGTCGTATTGAAAATTACTTTTGTGTTTTAAACACTGTGCAACTAAGTTACAACTGTAGTCAAATACAAGATGTATTTTGGGAGTAAATGCCATTAAAGCACATGATTTATTTCAAGTAAAACGTACTAAATATTTCAAGTGTATTGCATGGTTGTTTTCCTTTAAAATTATCTTGAAATTAAATACATATAATCGGTGCAGCAGATTATACAAGTTCCTGTGTACCACCTGACTGTGTGACAAACAGGATTCCTCATCCCTCTCCCTCCCTGTTTTGCTGATGATAGTACTTAGTAAGATGCATGATTCATATCATACAATAGAGCCTGGGCAGCACACAACTCTTATGCATAAAATTGGCTTTTAATTAATTGCAGTGGAAAGGAACAATATGTTTTTCTTTCTGCTTCCACTTAGTCACCTGACAATGCATCTGTAAACACTCATGAAACTTTTCTTCTCTTGTCACTGTTGTAGCCATTGGCTGTAATATTTTTCTCTTCTTCAGGCTGCTCTGACTCTTCCACGGAGACCACTTCTTCATTGTTCTACTGTGATTCCTGTGGTGGCTCTGACATTAAAGTTTATCATGCAGCTTTTCAGGCTTAAGGACTCGTGGTGCTTTCTTCCATGGATGTTGTTCATATCCTGGACTTCTCATCATGTCCGTGACGGGGTTCGTCATGGCCTCTGGATCTGCCCATTTGGAAAAACTCCTCCCTTGCCATATTGGCTGTATGTGGCAATTACAGCATCTTTACCTCATCTATGTTCATTTATTATGTATTTAACGGGCACTAGAGAATTAATGTCCATAAAACATGGAATCCGTATTGATGTATAGGAATAATGGCTTTTTAAGGTTGTTTGTGCTAGCACATGGAATAACCTACCTGTCTGTCACTGAAGGGTTTCCTTGTGTTTCCTACACCTCCTGAATTAGGCATTTTAAGGTTGTGGAGCCAATTACAGCTCTTGTGTCAATTCCTTGTGGCCATAGAACCTATTTAATGAATGATAATCATTTTATATGTGTACATTTTCCTTGTACAGTGTGTGGTCTTCCATGATAGTTCATGCATAGCGAGCTGATTATAAAGTACTTAGATCTTCTCTGTAGTAATTACATTACATTTTACTGTTATGGTGCCATTCATTTGATCACCATTCACTTTGGATTTGTATCCTGCCTCTGGAGAATACATTTCATCCAGATAGTATTTGTATAGCACTTTAAAAATGTGAAGTTCTATATAAATGCTAGGTATTAATGAGGATTTAATAATGTATGGCAATTCTAAAAAAAATCCCTCAGCCTTTCAAATATATCAATATGTTATCAGTCCTGCTAGATTCTTGTATTCAAACATTTTAAAAGAAATACCACGTGTATTTCATACTGTCTATCCACACCTCTTTGAACCTGTAATCACAGAGTATTTTACTAAATTCTACATCTCCCTGTAGTTGCATGTTGCTAAATTTGCAGATAATTACTAGCTTCAAAATTAGAAAGCAGTAGACAGTTTGGTTATAGTATTATGGTGTGTTGGCCAAATTGTTTAATTTTTAAAAATACACTAATTATGAATACTGTTTAATTTGGAACCAAGGAATTTTAGTAAATATTTAAGAATTGTGTGAAGATTCAGGGAGACACGGAGAAAATAAAAATTGCTTGTAACACAGGTTTGCTTAAAGACATTACTACTCAGTAAAGCATTTTCTATTAAGTGCAGTATCATCCTCATAAGTGTAAAATAAAATGCATTATTATTATTACTGTTATAATACAGAAATATAAATTTCCTCATAAAGAAGATCCATAAGGAAAGTGTTATTATGCTGCAGTTTATGAGGTAGTAATTTGCACTATGGACTATTCAATTCTCATTTATAGACATCTCTCAGAAAGAGTCCCAAATTAAAAGTTGTCTGGTCTTGTCTAACTCGACAAGACTGTCTAGACTTGTGTAGTTTATGATGTACAGGCTGAGAATGTCTATAAATAATTTTTAAATTTTTTATTCACTGCCCATTAAAGAAATGGGGCCTTAACTACTCCAGCTTGTGATGAATAGCTGTCAAAGGGGATCATTTTTATGGAACTGCATGTATAAGGTAGCATGTATTTAACTTAGGTTACCAAGTGTTGTAAGGGTTTACATAATGTGAACATTTACATTATTAAATGTATATTAGAATAAAGTGTAAAAAAAAGTATTAAATGGCATGCCTGTCGTAATGAATACCAGAAACTTTCTGTGGCTGCAGAATACTTAAGGCTCTTTGCAGCACTCTATGCTAATCATGGAAAATGGTGCACCTCTTTAAGGCGTGTCTTTATGCCAAAAGAATAATCCCAGTCCTGTCTGTTCTTCATGTTAGAAATGTATGCCAGTGAAAACTTGCCTGATAGTACAGTGGGCCTGTCTAGCCTTTATTATAAAATTATTAGAAAGTTTCTTTGTTGGAAAGATTGGAAGAGCAAAACATTCCTTAGAGAGTTATTCTCATGCTGTGGATTTCTGTCCTTTATAGAGTTTTCGAGAAATAGCATAAGAAGTGTCTTGCTTTAGAGCCCTCAGATCAAAATTGTTTTTCATCCAAAGGCATGATGGTTTACTAGAGGAGCATTGCTCACTCATTTACTTCTATCCTGTATGTTAAACTGCAGGCTACAGAATGCCAATAATGAATAAATTTTGTGCAAGGGGTTAGCACTGAAGCCCATGTAGAAAATTTTCTGTATTCTTGTTTCATGGTATAATATTTGTATGATTTTGTGCTTTATCTAGATTATTGGCAAAGGGAAATGTATATAGGAACAAGGTGTAGAATTACACTTTCTCACTTTCAGACTGTAGCTGTAGCATTTCTGGAAACTGTATGTCTACCCACAGTCCTTAAGATCAGTACTCTACTGTTCTAGTTATGTTTAAGGACCAGTTAATGGGTACATCTTCAGTAGTTTAAAACTATGTATTTTAATTCTCATTATGTCTAGATCTAGACACAGCAATAGGTGAACCCCAGTCAGACACATATTACGGAAAGTAGCAAGTACTTTGTACCATGACTTCTTCCCCTGCAGATAGACATGGCAGTCTCACAACTCAACCTGACATTTAGGCAGTTTTAGCTGAGGCCACCGGCAACTTTTCAAGGTAAACTGACATGTGGCATGTACTGCTGTAATTTGTGGGTGCCAGGGTAGAGTACAAAGGGGAAGTTAGGTGTTTCAGCCTGTGTGTTGTGGGCAGAGTGGGAGCTACAGAGATTATAGAGAAGCCCCCCCTCGTTGAGTCACAAGGCACAGACAGTACCCTCTTGCTTTCTAAACTCCTCATAGAGGCCTCTGGGTGCAGCTGGATCCAGCCTTAGCCCAGACCCTGTCAGTGGTTTATGCTGATGGATTAATTGAACCTTTTCACAGCTTTGTCCCACAAGATTAAGGATGACAAACCAGAAGTACTTACATAAAAATAAATCAGAGTTATTATTAGAGTTATAACTTACTATGATAATGATGAGACTAAAAGATCTTAATAAGAATTATTTACTGCACAGTGTAGGTAGCTATAACTACTAGTCTAGTTCAGTCCACTATTTTTGAAGCAATATTGAAGCAATTATATCCAAGGGAGCAAAAGAAATTACAAAGTAGAGATTGATTTTACTCACCCATACCAATGACTGTAGGCAAATCTCTTTCTCTCAGCTTTGAGGTGTAACCTTGAAGCAAATCCCAATTCAAGGAAGGAATCTCCAGAAAGATTGTTGGAAGACCCTCCCCTCTAATTAATACATGTGAAAATTTCCAGGCCAGCTGTGTCAGTTCAGCATCTTCAGATAAGTTAGCAGTACTAATAGTACCACTTGTTTGTTGCTTTATCCAGTACTTTACCAGGTCTGCCACAGCTTCACCTTTCTGTCAAGAGTGTTTAGCTCTGGGATTGATATGTCAGGCTGGTTTCAGCATTATTGAGCACCAAAAGCACCAGGACAACCCCCTCCTCAAATCACAACTGATAACTTCGCAAACAGGGCATTATTCCTGCTGTTTTACTGCCATCCAGGCAGAGCATCCTGCTACACCTCCTCACCCAGCATGTGCCTGCTACAGGTAAATTGCCCAACTATTCTTTACCAGTATTTCATGTGCATTTCAAATTCACTGATGTTTCCAGCTATGCATCAACACCATGTCTAGCAAAACCATAACAAAAATAAACCAAGATACTAAAAGTATAATGACTTTGTGCTTTACTGCATGCATTACTATAACGGGTAAATGTAAAATACAAAAAGCAGGTGAAGTGCGCACAACATGGCTTGCAAAGTCAAGCTAATGATGTTGTGCACAATGTAGGATACATAGATAGGTATGATACATATCACTAAAATATTAGGCTTTTCAGCAATTCTTTTAATATACCAATCTAAAAATTTTCCATGTATTTTCAAGTTGAACTTAAAAAATTGAACAAAGTGTTGGGTTTTTGTGACTTACTTTGTTAGAACTGTGCTGCTTTTTTTTTCTTGCTTTGATGGATTTCTGCTGTAAAAAATAGGTAGTAATAGCCCAAGTTAAAGAAAGATGTTAGACTGTTTCTTCTCCCCAGTTGTGGAGAAATAAGATAAAATTCCTCCTAATTGCCTTGTGGCCTTAACAGATGTGTGAACATTTCCTATAGCTTTGTATTCTACTTGAAAATCAAATCTGTATTTTCACCTGATTGTTGGTATCACTTTTTACTACAGTGCAGTATATATTATATCATGTGCCCTTAATTAGATATTGGTAAGTGAATTACTCATAATTGATCCCATGTCCCAAGGAAAATGATGCTAAGTATATTGACTTTCTCTGCTAATGGAAATAAAGTTCCACAAAGAGAGAGAAGGGGTTAAAATTCAGTCTGAAGGACATGTTAGTACACAGTTAATTTTGGACACATGCGTTTTTATTCCATTACTGTTAGGATGAAGCTAAGTGATGAAATGCATCAGAAGAGTACATGTCTGTTTGTGTAATTGAGCCACTCTATATTCTGTCAATTATACAAATTTATTCAGGACAGAAGAAATCTTGTATTCTCAATGTTACATGTTGTGAGCTTTGATCAGTTGTTACTTTTGAGCCCACAAACTAAGTTTTGTTTCCCTGCTACAGGCAGACCTTGCATTGAAGCAAAAGAAGAGCTGTCAAATGGAAGTACCCTTTGTGTTCATCACAAAAACAAAGTAACGCTCTTCCTCAAAATTATAAGCAGGTGCCTTCAGTTCGTTCTTAAAATTTCCCAAATTTTACACTCTCTGCATTGAATTTTTGAATTTATGTTTTCAAATTGTATATTTGAATGCTGTATTGTAGAATTGTTTCCTCTTATTTAAACCCTCTATTAAAGTTAAACAGTACTTGTGGTTTTGTATGTGCATATATATGCTTATGTATATGTAAATATATATATCATACACTGATACATATATATCTTTCCTTCTGTGTTCATATAATATTTTTCCATTTGTTTAGCCAATTTTGTATTGGCTTTTCCTGGAATGAGGAGAAGTGTTTGTCTCAGTGCCTGGGGAAAACAAGGCATACTACAACTTAGCAGAAACATTTTAGTGCAAGGAAATCTTCAGAATATTGAAAACAAGAAAAGAGATTATACTGTCTTTTTGATGGAAGTATTCAGTAGGTTTCTAGGCACTTCTTGAAAACATTTGTTTAACCAAAACTAATAGACTGAAAACATTTGTCTTAGTAAATATGAGTGAACAATCTGCATGAAATTGGATTTTTATAATGAAACTGTTGCAGGGATAATTGGCTGAGTTGCTGTTGCTATATCCACCACAGATATAACTCCTTTGGCCTAGGAATGTTAGTAATATCCCTGGAGCTTTCCTCATGTTGCCAAGGGAATTTAGTCTTACTTTTATCTCGTTTTTCCATTTAAAAATTAAATTGAGCAAGGGTTTCTTACCTGATGTGGGGTAATTTCCTTAAACAGCTGTCCAGTCATTCACATCAGTTTTTACAAATGAGCCAAAGAAGCTCAGTACAGTAACTGTGCAAAATAAATTAAATCAAAGGTAGTGGTCATAATATGGACATAAGGAATTTAGAAGGTAGAATGCTTCTAGTTTCACATTTCCATTCAAATTGCTGTTAATCAAAACCACCTCCTTTTTATGTATTACTGCTAGCAATTTAGAAGTAGGGTTTGAGATGACTGCTCTAAAAATTTGAGGTTTTTCTGGGCCAAGTGAATACCATAAGATTCGAGTAGTAAGGCTTAATGAATGTATTTCCAACAAAATCATCTGTGTTATCTTGTTCATGTAGCTGTATACAATATGTAGATACAAATACTCAGTTATTTCCTGGTCTTTTTGTGGAAACATGGTTGTGGTTTGGGGAGAAAATGCTCTAGCTAGCATGACTTTTTTTGTTTCATTAGTCCTTGTGGAGATAGATCTTCCCTTCTATTTCATATTTTGTTAAGGTGAAAGTTTGAGCGCTTTGTCACTGTCTTTTGTGTGAGTGTTCTGTATGCCTTGCACAACGTGAATAAGCAAAGCAGAGACACTCGGAACTTTAAAAATATGTGCACGTGATTTATTTGTATTTTTTCCCCATGGTGAAAAATAGTTCCACATGCTTTACCATCATGCATCTTGCATTTAAATATCTATATAAATGTTGATCAAATGGTATTTCTAGTAATTTTATATGGCTGCAGAGACACTGTTAGTGTTTCATGTGCTCTCCTGGTGCTTGACTTAACTCAGGTTGGATTATAAGCATGATCCTACTGCCTCAAGTGTACCAGATTGCTCAGCTGGGTGTAGCAAATGTAATTGGTAGACATCTGTCTGGTAGTAAACAATCACAGGGACCCTTTCTATTCAGTGTGTGACTGCTCAGTCTATTCAGTGGTGCTTAAAATATGATTTATATCTTCCTAAGAGAGATGTATGCTTCTGGTGTACTGAATTGCCTTCCAGTCATCACAGATTGTTCTAACTAGATGGTACATTTATCATTGGGATTGTAGATTGGGTTTGTCTTCCTGTCCTTCATGTGATTTCCCCTTGCTGGAGAAGGAAACTGTTTATTCAAGAACTATATCCAGGGGTTCTTTGATGTGTAACATAATAATGTAAACATTAAAAAGTGAAACAACTAGAGGCAGTTCTCAAGAAGCGTTGATGCTATAGTTAACTTCTGAACTGGCATATTTCAGTAAAGGGATGACCAGCTTTTTAAAATTAATTTTGACTTTTAAAATGCAGATGAGACATTTATTGTAAAGTTAGATAATTTTGTGAACATCTGTTCAAATACAGGAGCATCTCTTTGAAAGATTTCACAATTTCAGTGAGAATATTTATCATGGCTGAAGTTTCCAGTGCTAAATCTTTGCTTCAGTTTACTATTTGTTCTAGATTCAGTGTATGGAGACTTAGACTAGGAACTGTTAAAAGTTTAATCTGTTAAAAGTTTGCACCTTTTTCTCCCTTCAACTTGACACAGAAGAGGCTCTGTTTAAGTTTACTAAAGTAGAGCTAGTATTAGGTGGTCTAGCTTGCAGTATCTGTGTTAATATAGAAAAGCTGACCACCTGATACTGTCATGATATCCATTTATTGCAGTTAGAAACTCCTGCTACTGCTCTGCAGCACTGCCAGGGAGGTGTGGGCTGTATTTGCTGCTGCCATCTGCAGACTCAGTGCAAAGAATGAGTGCTGCAATGTTAGTTAAGGGAAACAATGGCTTGAGTATATGCTTTATGGGGCTTCATGCTTCAGTGGTTTCTGTGAGTGCTAAAACCTGCTTCTATTACAAAGAAAATAATGAATTTTAAAAAAAGAGGGTTTTTTTCCCAATGAATTTCAGCCACTGAAAGTCTTGTTGGATGATCAAATTTCTTGAAAATTCATTTCAGATAAGAAAACCAGTTTGGCAAGGACTTGATTTACAAGTATATGCCTGCTGTCTTTTTCAAAGTGAGTAATGTTGGCACATTTCTGTATTTCTCTGTTGCCTGGATTAGCTTTGCAGAAAAGGAGGTTTTCTTAGTCATCAAGTGTGAGCATTTCCCCTCTTTAGTGAGCAGATAGAAAGCTTTGAAAGTGTTGAGGACAACACTTTTTGCCTTTGGCACATATTCACAAGCATTCACCTGTCATGGTTATGAAAGGTATTCAACAAAAGATGGAAAATGCCTTGGACTAGGCATGCACTGAATACTTAATGAGAATGTGTCCAAACTGCTCACATAGCACACTGTAGGTGGATCTCCTCTGCAAGAAAGTTAACTGATAGTGTGAAAGAGTCTATTGGGAAACAAAGCACTGAAGAGAGAACTGCTTTGCTCTGGCTTTTTTCTTCACCCAGTTGTTCTACCTCCCTGCCTTGCAAGAGGACTACCCTTTGAGTGGGCTTGTTCTCATTGCTACACAGGGCGCACAAATACCAACCTTATTTAAAAGGGGAAAGATTTCAAATGCACAGGGGATGGTGAGTTGCCTGGTGGTAGCAGAATGTTCTGTTCTTCAGTTAGTGGTAGGTGATACCAAGAGGGGGTGGGGGAAGCACCTCTCAAAACCATTAGTACTGATTGAAGGTAGAGAAAAAATTATTTCCCTGGCTCTGGTGATATTTCAGGGAACTTGGTAGGAGTTACTTTACTGCTGGGGATAGAAGCTTTACGTTTCAGCTGAGATTCCATACTGACATAATTACATCTACAGCGGTAATAAACACTGATGGTCTCAGTGTAATGGGGACAGCTTCTACTAAAATTTTCCAAGTTTGTGCTATATCTAGACTTGTAAAAAAAAAAAAAACAAGGCAACAGAATGCTTTGCTTTGGAGATGTTGTTTGAAAACATTCACATCCTGCCATGTTTACAAAGCGTGTTTGCTGTTTCTGCTTTCTATCCCAAAGTTAACCATACTTGCCAGCCTTAAGCTGCTCCACACAGACGGCAAGAACATGTAGAGTTAAATATAGAAGAAAATTTCGTTACCAGTGTTCTGAAGGCTTTTTGCTAGGGTTTCAAAGTCAAGACAACAGAGCAGAGGTGCTATGGGGCATACAGAAAATACATTTCAATGTTTTATTCCTTCATACTTTATCAAAATAAAACTTCACTGCCACATGTCTCCAGTCCATGACTAGTCCTTTCTGTGCTCTATCTCATGAGTCTCCTAGTGGTAACATTTCACATTTGTCTCCAATGTGTTTTATAAGAATTACCCAATCTCACTAGGTCCCTAATTAGTTTAGAGGTGGAAAAAAATGTCTAATATGAACAAATGGGGTAGCTGAGCCAATAAGTGTGTTCAAAGATAAATTCTTTGAAGCTGAAGAAGGAGAGCTGAATGGAGACTGTTATGATGAAATGTAGTTCTTCAAGAAAAAGACTAATCTGTAGAGGAGCTTGTTTCAAATTCTGTAAGGACAAGTTTGGAGTTTCATGGTTAAATGGTATGTACCAGTCACTTCCTGCTAGCTGACCTAAAGTGATGAAATAGTTTGGGTTTTAAAACTGCAAAAACAGAGCAGGTTTTGCAAACAACTTTGCAGTGCCAAGAAATGGGATCTGGAATAGTGATGAGGAACTAAGATACCAAATTCACTTGCCAAAGTAAATCAACTCCATGCCCCAAGTTACTCGATAAATATAATATGCAGGACTTTTTCCATCCAAGTATTTGATGGACTGGAAACCACTGGATAATTGGAAAAAACAGGCATTGAAAGAGATTACAGGAAGACAATGTGTTTCCTCCTTCTGGAGGGCACAGAACCACCCCATGGCAGGACAGTCAGCATTTACTTGAAAGTTTTGTCTCTTATTCCTGTTTGATTTGCAACCCAAAGACTTTCAAAAGAGGCCAGACTCTGAAGAAGTGGACAGTTCAGGCTGGTCCAACCTTAACTAGAAACATATAGTCAGTGGTATTGAAGTGTAAATGAAATTAAACAAAAAATTTACTTGCCCAACTTTAAGTGGTTAACATAACCTAAAAGGCATTTAAAGTGTAGATTTATTCCTGTGTATCTTTACAAATCAAATTAATTCTGTTACATCTGTGCAACGTCTATCTGCTGTCTGTGAGATGAGTTTGGTTTGCTGTGTTAGTTTCATGATGTAACTTTTACTGTAAGTGAGGAACATTTGGCGACCACATTTCTTTAAGTGGAATTCAGAAGAAAAGCAGGCCAAATCCTGCAACCAAAGCCCTTCCGGTATTAATGAGCAAGAACTGTAGAACATGTTATTACCTATTATTAATAATGTCCTTGTTAATAATTTATTTGTCTGGATTAGTGCAGGAAGGTTTCAGTCTCTCATTGTGTTAGACGCTGTTTAGCAGTAGGACAATCTGTGCTCAAATA